CCCCAAAACCCCAAAACCCCAAAACCCCTTCTATTCTAATTCGTAAAAAACTAGAGACAATTTCGAAAAAATTAAAACTATATTTTATTTTGTATACTGAGTTTTGTGATTTACTTAAAACTTATTAAGACTATCAATAAGGATATCTCTAGTGAGCAAGCTATGATGCATGTTGATGCTGATTTCTTGTTGAAGGCATCTCTGGCACAATGTCAAGATTTAAATTTCTCTTTCCTTGCTAACTCATTGGAATAAAGATTTTAGTATTAATCTATGGTCTTTTCGCACTCATAGGTATATAAGACATTTAGCTTTAAGGCTTTTATTCAATTTTTCTATAGTTTTCCATTAAAAGTCTTTATGAGTCTAGCCTTCCTGCTTCTACAACTCTCTATGCTCCAATCATTGACTTATAATTTGATAGATTATTATTAATTGATATTGCATCTCTAGACCTAGTTCTGGGCATCAATGGTGGGATATTAAGCTTCGAATGATTAGATTCAGAATCTCTCAGATTGTTAATAGGTGTTATTATTTAATTACTACTTATTGGCTATAGAGATGGTCTTTCTTTTCTCACAAGTTCTGTTTACTTTGGAGTAATAAGGTAGTTTTGATTTCTTCCAGTTTAAATATCTGGTAAATTCTATGACTGCTTAACTCTTTGCTTTTTCTATGACTACGGTAATGAAGGAGGAAGAGAATTCCTGATAGAGTCTTCTTAATTAGTATTATTGCTACTAATAATACTTTGCTATTGCTGTTTCTTGCCTGAACTATATATTCTTGAAGGTCTTTGATAGATTTTACTCCTACCTTATATATTTTGTTTCTTTGGACTACTTTTTCTATTGCTTTAAAGCTCGTCTATTTTTAGAGGAGTGGAATTCTAATTTTGTACGCTATTTTGCTGTTGATGAAGTTAGGGTGTTTCTATTTAAGTTGATATTTCAGGTTTTTTATAAGGAATTTATCTGTTTGATTGCTGTGATAAAGTTGGAATCACTTGCTATGATTGATTCTGATTCATCTATTTTATATTCTACATTCTATGCTTTCTACTATAAAGTGGAGCTTTCCCGTGAGCAATTTCATAATAAACTTCCTAAATACCATTCCTTGAACTAGGGGAAGTCTTTGGTATTTGATTAAGCTAAATTTTCTTTCTGTATTCTTGAATTCTCTTGTATTACTCTGATTATTGATCATTAATTGGTTCTTATTTTCTAGGAATATGCTAAACCTCTGAGTAAGCCAATCTTTACTTATGAACTTAATTTTCTCTGCCCTTAGATCCTTCATCACTTTAATCGAATGAATTTTATCCTTAGATTTTTTCTACAGAGTTAGATTTATTTTTCATTGCTATTTCCTTGCTTTTTTCAGCAAGTTAATTCATAATAATTCCTTGTTTATTTTATCTTTTATGAATAAGTCTTTCAGATCTAACTTTGTTAAGACTAACCTAGATCTAAGAATTCTCTATTATCTTTACCTTAGCTGCTTCTTGGTGCAAAACAACCACTTAAGGCTTAGCATTTTAAGTTTATTCTTATTCTTTTTTATTTGAATCTGGGATAGGTTCTTCCTCTATAATAGAATGAAGCTTTTCTTCTCTTTCCATAGTTTTGACCTATGTTTATTCTTGAGTATTTTCCATGCTTAGACTCTTAGTACTACTATTTTTATCAGAAATAGATTAGTTGTTGTCTTTTTTCCTGCCATAATTGCTTTTAGGCAATCTCTCAGAGAGGAGTCTTAAGTTTTTTGGTATTCTAATAGTTCCCAACATTTAGTTAAGCGAATCCTGATTATCATCTTCGTTATCCTCCTGTATAAAATTGGAATCTTCCTTATCAAAGAATTTTCTACATTTGTTTTTAAACGCGGGAATGCTGATAATTTATTTGCAAGTTGGTCTGTTTAATGGATCTACTTGCAACATTAATTTGATAACTGCTGCTAAATCAACAGAGAAATGAGAAGGTACTCTCGGATAGGCACCTTTTAGAACTCTCTGATATAGACCTTGCATGTCCTTGGCAATAAATGGTGGATTAAGAGCAGCTAATTCATACATCACACAGCCTAAGGACCATATATCAGATCTTTTATCATAAGGTTTATCCTGCCAAACTTCGGGACTTGCATAGAAAGGTGTTCCAGTCTGAGTTTGTAAAAACTCTTGCTTAGCAATTTTACTGACATTTAAGTCACCTAACTTGGCTCTTCCCTCTTTCGTTAAGAATATATTAGCACATTTAATATCTCTGTGGACAATCTTATTGGAGTGCAGAGTCTTCAAACCAATGATCATATCATAAAATATCCTCCAGATACTCTCTTCATTCATGTGCTGTTGATTTCTTTTGAGTTCGGTAATCTTTGAATATAAATCACCGCCATCTGCGAACTCCATAACTATGCATAAAGTAGATGAATTCTCATCGAAAAATGCTTCTTTATAACCTATAATATTCTCATGTTCTATTGAGGCAAGAATCCTGACTTCGTTCAGAGCACTTTCCTTTTCCTTCTCGCTTAGTTTTGAAAGCTTGACCTATTTGAAAATTAATTTCACTGATAATTGGATTTTATAGAAGTTCCAAAATAATTACCTTTTTGAGAGCATAATCTTAGTCATCTGATTTCCTTTTTACTCTGAATACCTCAGAAAATGCTCCACTGCCTTTTTAAATGTAAGGAGAATATTATACCTAGCTTTGAGAGGACAATGAAGTCATCTATAGTCGTTTATGGTAATGAACTCATATTCTTGAATTATTTTACTATTCAAAATTTCTTACTATTCTTAATTATTTTAATTTCTATATTTACCATTATTTTATTTATTTTTATTATTGGGGTTTTGGGGTTTTGGGGTTTTGGGG